GAAGTTAAATGACTGAAGAAAAAAAATTTCATATCTGAACTCAGGTTTCTCTGTTTCCAAAACCAAATGTTTCCCTACTACCCCCATGAGACAGAGGATTTTGCTTGTTCATTTGCATGCAGCAATACCTCTATTAATGAGGAAGACCTCGTCCATAGACATATTTCTCTATTAGAGATAGCCATATAAAGAAATAAGAAAAAAGTCACAAAAAAATAAAGAAATAAGAAAAAATGAAAAAAATAACTAACACTTGTACAGCACTTTATAGGTTACAGTGAGCTTTTACATGACTACACCTCCTGGGGATGCTTTGGCCAACCCTGTGTGGATGGTTCTTCATTTCACAAGTGAGGGAACAGAGACTCAGAGCAGTGAAGTAACTTAACCGGATCACGCAAGTGGTAAGTGGAAGTTGCAATGAGGACCTGGATCTCTTAACTCTAGATATTGTCCTCTTTCTGCTATATCACACATTGTGGTTTCCATCTCAGGCGTAACTTGACTGGCTTTCCCTGTCTTCCCTTAAGTTGGGAAATTGCAATAATTTATCAGGATACTCATTACGATTTCAAAGAATATTAAAAAGTTGTCCATCCATTTTTATGCATCTATGATTTAACTACAGTACAAACCAGAAATGTAGTTATAATGTATAATAACTTAGAGTTTAGCTGATGGAAAGCTGTAAATGAGAAGTAGTGGGAAACGACACTCTTTACGAGGCTGCCTTGTGGAGACTATCCTTGATAAAGATGGTTAGGTGACAAAAGTTTTTCTTGTAAATACACAGCCTTCTCTTTTAAATGTTTCTTCCCTTTGAACCTTTTCCTCCTTTCCCTGTGAATCAAATGTCTAGCATCTTGATCCCCATTCTCAGATCTTCTACCACGCCCTTAAGGCTTCCAGTGTTTAGAACACACTTCTATACAGAGATTCTCAGAATAAAGAAGCACCCTCTAAATAATGAAAGGGGTCCTATTTTCGAGTGGCTACCGTAATGAATGGCAGTCTTCTAGTCACTGGAAGTGTTTAAGCAAAGGGGGAAAATAATCACTGTTTCTCCTACCCCTTTAAAAATTTTTGAAAAGAGCAGGCTATAGAAAGTGTCCATGGACAAGCATGTTGCCCCCAGCTGGTGGAGATCTCGGCTAGCTACCGGGCTGACTGTCATGCATGTAACCTTCCTGGACTCCATTTCCTAGGGGTTTGGGAGATCTTATACCCTGAGCTTCTCAGCATGTGCCTGAGTCCTGCCAACTACAGATTGATTTCTCTTCATTCCAACATTCTGAGGTTCTAGACAGGACAGTAAATTATTTTCTGCTCTTGCAAAGGGTCATGATGACCCATATATGAAGTCCTGCATTCCTGGAGGGGGCTCCCTAGATTCGATGTTGCTGGTGTTTTATATCTCTGGATTTATTTTGTCTTCTTAGAATCAAGGCTGTACCAGATGAAGAGGGAGTTGAAGGGGAGCATAACCCTGACTTTGAGTTTATGAAGGTGTCCCTGCCCTGTTTAATTAAAACTGCCTTAAGGCCTTCTAATCCAATTTTTTTTTTGGATTCACAATATATTACTAAAATCTGCTGACTGTTTATATTTCAGTACAGAACTTTTCTTGCCCTAAGGAAATAACTTAAGCACCAAGGCATTTGGACAAGTAGAGGTTTTTCCTCTTATTTGAGTTGAAAACAACTGTTTCATCCAAGATAATTGCCTAATAATATAATGACAACTGAAAATTTACTTCAAGAAAGTTAAATTTATGGTCCTCAAACTCTGTAACAGAGACATTAGTAAGTAAATTACTATTCCATGTTTGGAGATGAAATTAAATTTTATATTTTATACAAATACTATCAGAAGCTTTGATCCTGATGTGAATATGGAAACCAAGGCAAAATTATTTGTCCAGTTTACATGACTTGTAAGTGGGATGGCAATTATTTAAATCCAAGTTTAGTGGTATGAAGATTCAGGCTTTAGTCATTGTGTCGTCCTACCTACCTACTGCGTTACGGTCAAGGACAGTGCCTTTTTTTTTCTCTTAGGCAGCAAACTAACCTCTTTTTCTCAATGTAATATACTAAATTCCTTACAAATGCTCAGGAAACTAGAGGTGCTAGCACAAGAGGAGCAGCGGCGTAGCCGGTGTGGAACAACCTCTCTCCATCCTCAATCCTCAGCTGTGTATTTATTCAATCACGGAGTCCTAGACAGAACCTGACACCAAGTCTTTGATCCAGTGTGATTTGCTTTTCCAACCAACCTTATGTGCAAATTTGGGTACCATTAACATCTGATCTTTTAAAACAAAGGTGTAAAGTGTATGTCTGTAAATAAAATAAACAAAATTCCTGGGGTCAGAAGTTATTTAAAATAGAATACAACTATGGACAAAGGATGATAAAGCTAGATAAAACTAGTTATACAAGCATGAAAATTATAAAATTATATGTGTGTTCTTAAAAAAATGGACTCGAACAGAACATAATCTTTTGGTAACTTATTGGGAATGTTTTCCCAGGCTCATCTGCTTTTTAAATTACGAAGAAAGAACATGAAAGTTTTTATAGTAAAAAGTACAATGCATACTAGAAAAAAGATGCGATATAATGCTGTGGATAAAAGTGTGAGTTGAAGAGGCAGAAAACTAGCTCTGTCACTCACTAGCTGTATGACCGTGGGTAAGTTACTTAACCTCGTGTGCTCCTGTTTCCTCATAGCTAAAATTCGGGTAATAATAATATCTTCTTCATAGGAATGTTGTAGGCATAAAATAAATACATACATATAAAACTGTTGGGGAGCTGGCGCGGTGGCACAGCGGTTAAGTTCGCACGTTCCGCTTTGGCAGCCGGGGTTCACTGGTTCGGATCCCTGGTGTGGACATGGAACCACTTGGCACGCCATGCTGTGGTAGGCGTCCCACATATAAAGTAGAGGAAGATGGGCACCGATGTTAGCTCAGAGCCAGGCTTCCTGATCAAAAAGAGGAGGATTGGCAGCAGTTAGCTCAGCGCTAATCTTCCTCAAATAAATAAATAAATAAATAAAATATTAAGAAAAAAACTGGTAGGACTGTGTCTGGCACATAAAATCATTTAGTAACTGGTAACTCTCGGATACTGTGCCTCTACATGTATGTCTCTATGGATTAGAAGAGGAGCTGAGTGGGAAGAGTCTCATAAACTGTTACTGGAGGACCGACTTCTTGTTCCCCGGGGCTATGAGCCATGGGGGCCAGGGAGGGAGTATGCGCTTTCTGTCCACATCTCCTGATTTGCTAATTAGTTAACCATTCCTCGTAGTTTTCTTTTTCCCAAACCTATACTCTGGATTGAATATCACAAGGGGGAAGTTATACTCTGGGCTTTAGCTTCAAAAGATAGAATAACATGTTAGCTGGATCTGGAAACACAGACTCACACCCATACACATGGGCGCATGTGTGCCTGTGCACCCGCACACACACATACACACACACAGGTCAATATATGTCAATATATGGTTATCTATAATCTCTTTGGTCTAAACTATTTTAAAAGACCACCGTGGCATCACTGAGTAATGAAAACCAAGAGAACGTTTTCCATCTGTGTGAGAATGCAAAGCTGGCTCTTCAAATCAAAGAGAGAATGATAATTTCACTTCCCTCAAACCACAGACTCCAACTCTCACTGAAGCCAATGACATGGGCTATCAGCACAACAATCACGTAATGGATAATTCTGCTGTGAATTGATCGCCAACACGGCACTTGAAAGGTTTGTGTAAGACGTCTGATATTTCAGGCAGATGAACAAATGGCTCGCTAATGTCCCAGTAGACTCTAAGTTCCATTACCATACTGTAAAATGATTAAGAATTGGAATTGAACTGCCTTGACTCCTTGATCTCAATCCCCAGAAAAAGTGCCTCCGCTGATTTATCACTTAGCATTGCTCCTTCAGCATTACAGATGGTCTACATAAGAATTATTCTTTTCATCCAGATGTTGGATAGTACAAAGAAGCCATTATTCTCTCTGTCACATATACAAGAAATGCTTAGATATGTTACTGTTTGTTTTTGGTTCCAGGAAAAGCATATCTCTGAAGATAAATGTCCTACCTTTCCTTTGTTTTCTAACAAGAAGAATAGTTAAATGTCTTCCTTTTTTTTCTTCTGCTCTTAGTAATTAAAGACGGTTCACATAAAGTCCATTTCAGGTGCTTAGTAACTTCATAAAAAAGTTCTTACATTTTTTTCTATATCATCATTCTGTTTCACAATTTATTATCTTATTTTTCACTATTTTTAATTACATAAGTTTTTTGGATGTTGGTGGTACATAAATTCTAAGGAAAGCCAAAGATTTCAACATTTTGCTTTAATTTCTGGCACTTCAAATGAGGCTGGAAAAAGGGAACTCTCTCATTTGAAATGAATAGTAAGATAGTAATTAAAAATTCATAATACACCATTTGATTTAATTGAATGTGTTGAAGATAAATTCTATGCAAAAAAAATTCCCTTTAAAACCTTGAGGCATTTTTATTAATTTGTGAAATGGATATCTGATACCTGATTTTAAACCCTTGCTTTTCTATGCTTGTATTTAATAGGTTCAAACAGTTCTTGGGTGCCTAGTTGGTTATGAATTCAGCAATAAATCTAGTTAGAAAAATATGGCTTCCTGTTAGACACACTTTTAGTGTATTACACATAACAGCTTGACACTGAAAAAATATTCTTACTCTCTTCCCCCTCTTGCTAAACATAAACTCTTCAAACTTTGTGCACTGCTAAACTAAAACATCACTCTTTTAGGTTGTCAAGGATGATGATTTTAGTTATCTACCACTGCATGACAAATTGCCTTCAAACTTAATGGATTAAAAAAACGAATATTTACTATCTCATAGTTTCATCGAGTGAGGAATTTGAGATGCTTTTTGGCTGGAGGTCTCTCATGAGATTGCTAACAGGATGTCTGCCACTGTTGGAATTACCTGAAGGCTTGACCAGGGCTACAGGATCCATTTCCATGCTCGCTTACATGGCTGTGGGCAGCAGGGCTCAGTTCCCTGCTGACTGTTGGTCAGAGGTCTCAGGTCTGCACCCTTTGGGCTCCTCCATAGGGCAGTTTGAATGTTCTCACAATGTAATAGTGACTTCCCCCAGAGTGACTGATCCAAGAAAGAAGCTGACTTCACAATGTCTTTTATGACCTAACTTATACACCAGCACTTCTGCCACATGCTATTAGTAAGAAATGAGTCACTAAATCCAGTTCACATTCAAGGGGAGAGGACTAAACTTTACCCTTTGAGAGGAGCAATATCAAATAATTTGTGGACAAATTTTAATTTAATTTAATTTATTTTTTTATTACTATAACATTGATTTATAACATTATATAAATTTCAGGTGTACATCATTGTATTTTGAATTCTGTGTAGATTTTATCATGTTCACCACTCAAAGACTAATTACAATCCATCACCACACACGTGTGCCTAATCACCCCTTTCTCCCTCCTCCCTCTCACATGAAAAATTTACCTTCTCCTCCTCAAGACCTCCCCAAAACCTTGCCCTTTTACAGCATTAGTTCAAACTCTAAATCATGTCAAGGTGGGGTAGATACTCCTTGGGTGCAGCTCCTGGAGTAGAGTTCGTCTTGAGAAACTTGCATCCTTGCCTCATTTTGCAACAACGAAAGGCCATTCCAGCTCTAGACCTCCCTGAGGGTTGAGCTGGGACCTCTGTCATAAGTCAATCACCGTGCAGCGCAACTTCTTCCTTTCCCTCTCTTCCTTACAGGTATTGTTCCTAAATGCAATCCCCAATAAACCTCTTGCACAGAGATCTTTTTTGTCTGTTTACAGGGAACACTAACTAAAGTCATTTCACTTGCTAAATATGTTATTTGAAGAAAGGATATCATAGAAGGATGAGGGAAAAGCCCAGAATTGGGTACTAAAGATACTCTCCTTGAAAATCTCTCACATAGAATACACTTTCCCTCAGAGTCTGTGTATAAAGGGATACGCTGTGTACATCTGTGGGGGAAAACATATACATATATATATGTATGTATATATACGATATATTTGTATGTACATGGATTAAACATCAAAAAGTTGTTAGTATGGGAATAGCACTTTTTTCCTCTTCCCGTCTTTCTACATCCTAGATAGAAGTGGAACTCTTATCTTTTTCTAAACTCATGAGTTTGCTGACAGTGTGAAGTACAGAGGAGAGATCATTCTGAACTGAGAGGACAGCTGTGCAAACATACGCTTTTTAAAATGTACTTCAGGGATAAATTTTCTGTCTATATTATATTGTACATTGCTCCAGTGGCCAATTTGGGTATTGATGGATCACGTTTGGTCATGTAATCACTAGCTTTGGAACTAGGTGAATCTCACTGGTCACTATCAATCAAATCATCATATGTTCCATTAAACCAATGATCCAACCATTCAAGCTACTGAAATAAATTTGGTTTGATAATTATATAAGACACTTACTAAGTGACCCCAAATTTTAATCCATGGACTTATTTCTACAGGGTAAGTCTTCTTTAGATGGTACTATCTATACTAAGGTATACCTTGTTGGACATTTGATAGATTTTTGGTTGCCATGCAGTGGTTTTCTTTCAATCCATAGCCATTATGTGCAAAAAATATAAAAAGAAAAAGCAAAAGGGAAAACTAAAGACTATGTCACTGAGCTACTACTTTACTCAAGTAGCAGGGCCAACTCTCCCTTAATGGTAACAATGACCAGGTCTTAGCACAACAGAATATGGCAGAGGCTGACCCACGAATGCTTATAGAAGCTGTTCAGATGGAGAACTATGTACTACCAGTGTATGCCATCCTAGGGAAATAGGATAAACTCTCACTACTTTATTTCCATTTATTTTGGTTCAAAAGCATTGATACGAACACATGTAAGGGTTTCCAGGACTTTGATGAAATTTAAGGTAAATATTCTTTGCCTTTTCATTGATGAGGAAATTGAGAACTAAAAAAGTTAAGAAACTTGGCCAAATAAATAGACCCAACTGGTCAATTTTAATAAAGGTAAGTTTTTTACACTTAGACTTACACTTTTTTACACTTAGTCTTTTACACTTTTACACTTAGAAAATCTAGCAATTGAAAGTTGACCAGTTATTCAATAAATCTTGCTTATTGTGAGATCTTCTAAACCATAATCTCTTTCTCTGACTCTTTGTGGATCAATCATTTCTAAATATCATTCAAAGTGAATATTTATGCAAAATATGAAAATATTTCTGCATATGAATATTATACATTATAAAATGACGTTATGCAAGTATGTAGATTACATATGACTATTTTCATAATACTGATTTGTAAATCTCTTTCATTTTTTCTGAGCTCTCCAAAGTAAGACATGAAGCAACTACATTTGTTTTCCAATCTTGCGAAATATTGGTAGTCCTTAGGCTAATAAAAAGCAGAGTTTGACTTGAAATCCAGGTTTGTCTTACCTTACAGCCTTTGTCTTTCTACTACACCAGTTCTAACACAATCCAGATTATTTCCACTTCTTAGTGCAAATATTCTCACTTGAGCACTGATGCTTTACAAAGAAACCGTTCCTTTCCCTGGCCGCTATCCTTTGCAAATTGATTTAAAGAGAGTTGAATAAGAGTGATATTAAGATAGGGCACCAGGTCTCCCTCCAATTTGCAAATTTTTTCCATCTCTTAGGAACCCCATTTGTCCATTAGCTACTCTTTGGCCACACAGTGTTCCAGGCTTCATAAAGTTTGTTAGGTATTGAATGAAATAATTCATTAATCTAGCTACTTTCCCGCCCTACCAGCCTATAAGTCTATCATCATACTGAGAAGGATTAAAAACAAAACAAAACCTCAGAATGAGAAAAAAAAGGCAGACACTACAGGAATGTCTGAACAGTGAAGGGATGGCTCAAAAAATGTTTCCTGTGAATTTACATCTTTAAGAGGATTACCTCTGGAGGGGTATTGGTGTTTTTTTTCCAGAGTAAGCAGTTGTGGGGCAGTGTGGGCTCACCTTTTAGCCTCTGGTTTCATTAAGAGCTCAGCCCCCTGGGAGGAGAACTGGCTGGGCTGGTTGGCACCTGAATGAGACGAGCTTTATTACACTGTGAGGAGACATAACTTTGACCATGCAGCTTTAGACGCTGAGAATCCTCAAAAAGCTTTCTGGTTGTTGTTCTTCTCTAAAATCAACTTTATTAAGATAAAACTTGCATGAAATAAAATAGAACCATTTGAAGGGTATAGTTTGAAGAGTTTTGGCAAATATATGCATCTTTGGTGTAAATGCCATCACAAGCAAGATATGTAATATTTCCAACATCCTAAACAGTTTCTTCATGCTACTTTGCAGTCAATGCACCCCACCTCCAAACCCAAAACAAACACTGATCTGTTTTGATCACAGTAGATTAGTTTTATCTTTTCTAGAATTACATATGAATGAAATCATCCAGTATTTCTTCTTTGTGTCTGGCTGTTTTTCTCAGCATAGTGTTTTGAGATTCATCCATGTGGTTCCATGTATTGGTGGTTCATTTATTTTTACTGCTGAGTACTATTCCCTTATGTATACACTATAATTTATTTAGCTGTTCACTTGGTTTTGCACATTTGGCTGTTTACAGTTTTTGGCAATTATGAATAAAGTTGCTATGCACATTTGTGTAGGTCTTAGAGGGGATACAGTTTTTTCATTTTTCTTGGGTAAAAATCTAGGAATAGAATTACTGAGTCATATGGTATGTGCATTTCCAACTTCATAAGTAATTGTGAACCAGTTTTCCAAAGTGGTTGTGTAATTTTACATTCCCACTAGAAATGTGTGAGAGTTCACTTGTGTACCTTGAGATGATCATATGGTTTTTTCCCTTTGTTCTGTCAATATGGTAAATAACGGATTTATTTTTGAATGTTAAACCAATCTTGCATTTTTGGGTTAAACCACACTTATCCTATTTATTTATTTCAGGATATTAGTTTGTAGTTTTCTAGTAATGTCTTTGTCTTGTTTTGGTGTCATAAGATGCCTTGGGAAGTTTCTAACCCATTTTCTGAAAGTTTTTATGAAAGATTTATATTATTTCTACCTTAAAAGGTAAATAGGATTCACCAATGATGCCAACTGGACCTGAAATAATTTTTATTATTAACCCAATTTCTTGAATTGATATTGGACTATATAGGGTTTCTAACCCTTTTTAAGTTATTTTTGTCTTCAAGAAATTTGTCCATTTCATTTGTTCTCTTAGTTTGGGCTGCTACAGAAAAGGACCCTAGACTGGCTTATAAACAATATAAATTTCTTTCTCACAGTTCTAGAGGCTGGAAGTCTGAGATCAGAGTGCCAGCATGGTTGGCTTCCAGTGCCAACCCACTTCAGGGTTGCAGAGTGGTCTTATATCCTCACATGAAAAAGATGAGAACTTTCTGTGGTCCCTCTTGTAAGAGCAATAAGCTCATTCATGAGGGCTCCTCCCACATGACCAAATCAGTGGTGAGGATTTTAACATATGAATTTGGTGGGGGCCCAAACATTCAGTCCATTGCAGTTGTCAAAGCTATTGGCATAAAGATGTTCATAATATTCTCTTGCTAGCCTTTTCACGTCTGAGGCTCTGTAGTGATAACCATTTGTCATTCCTAGCATTGGTAATTTAAGCTTCTTTATCTTCCTTATCAGTCTCCCTAGAAGTATGTCAACTTTATCTCTCTCTTTTTCTTAAAAAAGCCCCAGCTTTTATTCGATTGATTTTTCTCTATTGTTTTTCCAAATTCTGTTTTAATAAGTTCTGCTCTTATCTTTACTCTTTCTTCCTTCTTTTCTTATACTAACTTTGAGGTTAGTAGCTCTTCATCCAGCTGTTCAAGGCGGAAGCTTAGATCATTGTTTTTCTACCTTTCTTTTTTTTTTTTGCTGGGTTGTTTTCATTTTCATTCTGTCCCAAATATTGTATTTTGTCATTTATAAAGTTTGGGGATTTTTTTCAATTTTTTTTTATTCCAATCGATTAAATTTTGATTAGAATTGTAGACATTTTTCTTGATCCTAAAATCAGTGCTATATTCAGTGATAAG